CTGCACAAACTGTACTGCAAAACTACGATATGAAAAATACGCTAGAACATGCGGAAAATAAAACTATAGAAACTTAGAAAGGCGCTAATGAAGATGAAACAGCAAAGAAACGCTAACGAGGGCGCGAAAACTGACAGAAAGGAATAAACACCTAAATTAACGCAAAAAAAAGACTAAACAAAAGGACGAAAAGAAGTATAAACTAATTTGCGTACGCAAAGGAAAAACAAATGACGCAAGAACGAATAATAGAAAAAATGTTACACTTGGATCTTACAGACTGTTAGACTAACAAGTTTTCAAAAACCCAACTGCAATCATAATAATAATAATAATAACCTTTATCTTAAGAGGGTGACACCAATTACTATAAAAAGTATTCTCCCTAGTGGCCCTCTAAAAACAAAATTGATAATAATAAATTACAACAGTCATGATAAAAAGCCTATTTACAAATAGTAATTATAATAAAGGATCTTAAAAATTCTAAACAAGAATTCTCCCTCTCTAGTGGCCCTCTAAAAACAAAATTGATAACAATAAAATTACTGCAATCATGATAAAAAGTCTATTTACAAAAAGTGATTTTCATAAAAGGTTCTTAAAAATTCTAGAGATTTAAGAAATTGAAAGATGTAAAAACGGAAGTGAATACATTGGTACAAAAGGGAATCCAATGTACAATGATATTAAAAAAAAAGCACGGAGTTTTAAAAATCAGAATAACTTTTTAACTTTAAAATTGTCCACTGTATAGTTTGAGGCGACGTTATTAATCCGTTTTAATCTTCTTCAAGTTTGACTATCCGTGCCTTCTTTACTGATTTGCTATGCTATTTACACTTTCTTTGAATGTTTTTAGCGGTTATGTTTATGTTTCGTCTAATTTGGTGGCAGCTCTCGTAGTTAGAATTTTGGTAAAATTCGAGACACGGCTCCTTTAATCTGCTTCACTATTGAGTGGCTTATACAAAAAGTATTTTCTTGTTCCCAGAGCCTCCTATGTTTCTTGGTCCGTGAGGTCTGGATAAGAAGAACCTTGGTAAATAGATAACGTAGTTAAAAAAAACAGGTAGCGCTGGAAGCCCAATTTTTCCTGCCTTGTTGATCCTGAGCATGGGTTTTAAATCTGCTTGGTATCTTGGGAAGGGCGCCTTTTACTTGAATCCTTCCCATGACGCACTACGCTCTCTGTTTTCTGGCTACAAGACGCAGGCACTGAAGCGAGACAGCAATCTCAATAACAACAACAACATCTTTTATTAAAACACGGTGGGTTTTAAAGCTAATATAGCTTATGGGGCCGTGTAAAAAATGTTAATAAAATAATAAAAATTATTAAAATTGAATGTAGTCAATAAAAGGTGAAATATGTACAATAACAGACATGAATAGAATTAATAAAAGACGAAATCACTGTCAATTTGGGGAAGACCCATTTGCGGTGACTCTTCATTAAAGTTCAAGTTTCTGTGGGCGTAAGACTTTTTTGCCCTTTTGGCAAAGTGCCTGGCGCTGACAGAGGATAGTTCTAAAAGATTCCAAACAATGGATCCTCTGTAAGAAATAGAGTTTTTCATATAACAAGTTTCAAAACGTTGTACGCTAACACGATGTTGATGACGGAGGTCATACTTAGACTCTTTCCTTTGGATTATATGTTCCCATGATGGAGCATGGGGTTGTATATATTATAAATTAAGGTGGCTATTTTTACCTTATAAGAGTCCCACTTAGCTGTTTTTCTTACATCCTCTGAGGGAATATCGCGAGGGAGGTTATATATAACTCTAGCAGCCCTACAATGTATGGATTCCAAAGAATTAAATTAATTTTTATTGGTCTGATTAGTACTATTGACAGCCCAACCGCCAGTTGCATGAACGTAATGTCGAATGTCGGACCTAGCAGCGAACGTCTGATGCTCAGGTCAATCAAACGCCTCACTCCAACTCCAGACGATAGAAATCACATGTGACGCAAATTTTTATGAAACTGACCCAGGGAACCGAGTCCACAGTATAGTTGGAGGGTGTTCACATGACACTGGGGCGACTTTCGTGTCGGCGCTAGTTCACTCTAGTTCCCTCTCGTGGCTTTGTATTTGTCTACATGATACCACCACAAAATGTCATACCGGCGCGAGTCACACCAGCGTGAGTTCACCCGGTTGCTGTGCCGGGACGAAAATTTCACTCCGGTACGAAATTTCCCAACGGTATCATGTAAACGCGAAACCACCACTCGTTTCGGCGGTGTGAAATCGGTCCCTGTGCCGGTAGACTGAAACGGGTAGCGTATGCGTAGGTTTCGTCAATTCAGGATGGTGGTCATGGGACGACGAAAAAACATGCAAACATGTAAATGCGATATGTGTAAATGTAAATGTAAATATCATATTATCCACTCTCCTCAGGGCTTTTCAGGGATAATTTACAACACTGGTTGGGGGACTTTACCAGACTGCTTAAGGTGCAGTTTACAAGTAATGAAGGAATGAGTGATGATGCCCCCATAAATGAGTGTGAAAGTGAGATAAACCACTACACCGGGCACTACGTGCCCTACTCTTTACGAAAAGAGTGTAGGTCCTTTAACGTCCCACAGATTTTTTATTACATGTGCAAGGGCTTGTGAGACGGGGCATACGGTTTATCCTCCTTATCCGAGAAGACTAGAAAGTCAAACCGTTACAGATGTTATTACAAAGGCAGCACTTTCCCCTCAGCTATTTAAAGACCCTGAGTGTTGGTCCAGCCTGGGTTTGAACCTACAGCCTCCCGCTCAGCAGACCGGCGCTCATCCCATTATGATATGAAATCAAGAAGTCATCCCAGTATGAAACTCGCACGTGTGCGACAACCACCTTACTTGGCCGTTGCTAGGCAATGTGAGAAGCGGTCCAATACAGGTTCACGACAATGGTACCTGCCTACACTTTTAGTTCCCAAGCATAAAAGAAATGCCTTTCGCAGGTGCTACTTTGAAAACTTGAAAAAAGACCCTTGTATTTATCTCAAAAGGAAGTCTTGTGACAAAAACAATTCTTATAGATTATTTATGTTTTAAAATAATTTTATTATAATTTAGGCAAAATTACGATCTTCGCTTGGGAAATATCAGTGATTTATTGGATTTTTATGACCATCGAAACGCAGATTTGAAGGTTTGTTGTTAATAACTGTTTTCCCCAAATCTTGTCCGGTTTCTAAAATTTATAGCTAAATGATGATCTCTTATCATTTCTCACTTAAATACCTCTTTAGCACAAATTAGTCTGTTCAAATATTAAATCAAGTAAATGATCAGCTTATTAAAATAAGTGCGTTTAACCGTAATGATGCAATTCATTCAAGACTGAAGATTTCACTTGCTAATAATCAAGATTATTTGAAGTATCAATTGAACAACTCAGGGTTGTTACTCGGCTTTCATACGGTGCTATGATTTTTCTGACTCCAGCCAAGAAAGACACTGATATCAATGAGTGACAATTCCCATTTTTTATTGAATAAAGCAAAATGGTTTTCCAAGGAGTTAAGAAAATAATTTGAATTGATTCTCAAGTGGCTTTGTACTCCATGACATGCATGAAGATCATTTAAACCTAGCGGGTTAAAAACGCTAGTTTGCTTGCAGGGTTGTAGTCCAACTAGTTAGGTGGGGTATGAGGGTATGCTAAGAGTAAGTTGCTCGTCTTTTCTAATGTTAAAAATAAGGCCCTGAATGGTTAACGTACGGTCGTCGATTTCAAAAATAGGCCAGTTGCACTAAGAGGTCACGTGACCAGTGCTTCCTTTTAATCTGGCTGATGCAAAAATTGACAGAGCACATAAAAATTATCTTACACCCGAAACTGAAGAGGAAACGCATATAAGGTAGATATTTTATGCCACTTTGAGTATTCAACAAAGTAGTATCATTTGCCGTTGCCCGCCATGGTGGAGGGCATACTCTTGTCCTCCAACATGGCGGCCAAAACTACTTTTTGCTTATATCTTAATTTGTCAAACGTTTGAAAGTTACGCTCAGATGTGCTGTAATTGTAAACGTTACCACATCATCTTTTCAACATTTTCCTTGAAGTTTAAGTGCAAAATTTGTGTTCAGAAAGAGGTAATTCAAAATGTTAAAAATCACATTTTGGTCACCTGACCAGCTACCAACTTACTCATTTTAAGAAAATGGTGCGGGTTTGAAAAACCAAATCACTATTATTTTGTTTAAGATTTGACCCACTAATCGTTTTTCGAAGGCAAAATCAGATAACTTTCATTTTCATAAAAACGATGTCATATGACCTCTTAGTGCAAATGGCCTATTTTCAGTCAGTGCTTTGGGTAATTTGTCTCTTGAGGGAGACACTTTCGTTTAAGGTCGCTATCATTACGCAAAACTTTATATAGTTTCCCGGCAAACAGCATTGAAAGCCAACTCTCCTAAATACACTCCATACTGCATTGAAAGTCATGCTGAATACTTCGCTGTTAAAACAGTCGAGTCTCTGTCTCGCTCAGACACCTTTCTAGCACATCAGTTCTCGGTGGGTGGGTAGTTTCCTGTTACTAGCAGTTCTTAAACGTAAATGGCTGTCTGTTATATATAATTTTCTAGTCCCAAGGATTCCAAACGTCGTAGAACCGGCTCGAACTATATTATACCGACAGCTGATCTATGTCATGTGGGTGCCTGTCTCTTTCGGACAGTTCTCTTGGTAACAAAGATTCCAAATTTTCTATAATCTCCAAACAGTGTAATACAAACAATTCTCTCGTACGGGTGGTCCCTTGCATGGTCCCAAAGATTCTAAATTTTCTATAACCTGGACCTGTGTTAAACAGACAATTGTAATTAAATTCCAGGACACGTTAGGGACCAGCACTCTTTGGGTCCACCTTAGAGAGATGTCCATTCAGATCTTCTCGATATATAGAAAGCCAACTAAAAGGAATAAAGAAAGGCTGCTGAGGGACCAACTTTAGATGTTCATTTCATACATACCGTGTCCGTTAAGAGAGAGCTGACTGTTCTGTCTTACTCTTTTTGTTGTCGGCATCAACGAGTTTTGTCCTTGTTTCTAATGTATTTTACTAACGCACTCACTTTTTCAGCATCACATTAAAAGTAAAATTATGAAGACGAGTTCAAAATGGGGAGAATAAACAGGAAAAAAAGTACAAAGATTGTGACGTTTGCTGTTCTGCTCAGTCTCTTCGCCTATTTTATGCTCAAAGATAAATGGGAGATGGATAAATCTCGCAATGAAATAACCTCAAGAGATGCTGTTGGCTTGTTTCGCAGAGGTATGTACTGCCATAAGACATTTACCAATGAAAGTAGAATTCTCGCGGGCTCACTGGTCGCCAGCTTGCGCATGCCTAGGAGAGATAGCGAAGGAATGAAAGAGATCGATTAATCGTTACCCTTGGCGGAAAATATTTCACAATTATTCCTCGAGCCGGAATGGGCTCTGAGTCAATAGCCCATGAGGACGAAGGCCTAATGGGCTATTGACTCAGAGGCCATGAGGGCGAGAGGAATAATTGTTTTAGTAAAATCCAACTATTTGGTCAAAAATATGGAGAATAAAAAATTTTAGCTAGTCAAAGCTAGACTTTAATCCTTTTTTGCCGCCAAAAAGCCCGCGCTTTTCGCTACTAGTGGGCTATAACATGTAGCCTAGTAGTAGCTCAACCAATCAGAACGCAGCATTGATAATAAACCACTAGTTGGATTTTACTAATAACCGTTAACCGTAAAGTAAATCAGAGCCCTTTCTGTGGCCGCCCCAGCAAGCTGTGGGACACTTCACCAAAATACTTACCTTCTTGAAAAATTTTCTTGTCCATACTTATTTATTCTTGTTTCGTTGGCTCTATTCATATTTCTAATATACAGTTGTTGATTCCTAAACAATATTCGTCAGCGCCATTGAACTGATGGAATTTGCCGCCAGATAAAGTTTCCCTGAATCATCGTCATGAGCTATTTTTTGGGAAGGCAACAGAAACTAAGCTTGTTCTCTGTAAATGTAATTTATCCCAAACCGCCAAAAGCCTTGTTTTCGCTCTATTTCTTACAGAATCAGAATCTTGGATCCAGGAACAATTCACCAACTCAGCAAGCATCTTTCCAACGATGAAAGCTTTGGAAGAAGAACTACGACGAATGAAAGAAAAAGAAGAGATGTTCGTGGAGAAATTGATCAAAGCAAGGAAAAACGAAGAAGATTTAAAAAACAATCTGATACGGTTGTCTCAAGAACTGCGGGCAAATAATGCACTTAAAGATCCGTTAAAACTTACACACAACACACAAGAAAATTTTGACTTACCTACTATCTTTGTTGTCACGCCGACATTCAAACGTTTTGTGCAAAAGGCTGAATTAACACGACTATCACAAGCTTTTAAGTCTGTCAAGAACTTACACTGGATTGTAGTGGAAGATTCTGGGGATAAAACAAACTTAGTAGCTAATTTTCTGCGGAATTCACGTTTGAAATATACGCATCTAAATGTAAGGACTCCAGATACTCTTCGAAGACATAAAAACGAAAAGCGACGGTCCAAGCCACGTGGGGTGGTACAGAGGAACATTGGAATTCAGTGGATAAGAAACAACATTGATCCTCACAGGACCCCTGGTGTGGTATATTTTGCGGATGACGATAATACGTATGATAGCCGCATCTTTGATGAGGTTTGTTGACTGAATAGGTTATATACTCTTCCCCTATAGATCGTTTTCACTGTCACGCAACAAAAAAATAAATTGGAAACCGTCCAGTGGAAGAAACCAAGAAAATGAAATGTAATAAAAGACTAACATATAAACAATTTGTCTAAGTCCCAGGTCTTTGTGGCCCATAGTTTCTGAGTTATTTGGCGAAACGCACTGTGAAAACTCGGAAGTTCAAATGCTGTATTTTGGAAATCAAACATGCTACGGAAATGGAAACTTGTACAAAGATTTCCTTTTTGTTTATCTTCAACCTAGTGTAAATAACAATTCGTAAAACCTCGCTATTTTGACTTTACAATTTGATGACGTCACAGTGAAAACCATCTATATGATCGTACTTGTTACTAGTCCAGACTCGCACTCAGTCGCCACTTATTTGTCCTGGAAAAGGAATACGCAAAGGAAACTTAAAGCGCGCAAAAATGCTTGGGAAGGAGGGAGAAAAAGTGTCGTCAGTTTTACTCCCTTCCTTCCTTCCCTTGATACACCGCGAATTCATCATGCCATTAATCACATGTAGGGCTAATATAGAGAAGCTGATTGGGTACGAGTCAGTTACTAGTCCAGATTTATTACCTACATACCGATTTACCCATAGAGTTACAGGAGACTGGTGGGACTAAGGCTATTAAACATGCACACGGAACATCCTGCATGAAATTGCTACTTACCCGGAGTGCATTGCGTGCCACGCAGGGGAAAATTTGAGGTCGCTCAAGGAAATCTCTTCCACCTCGCTTAACTTCCACGAGAAACGTCCATAATGTCTCTCTTTATTTAATACAAATATAATTCGGAATCGTTACAGTGTCAAAGCAAAAGACTCCACTTTCACAGCTTTTTTCCAAAAAACAATAAGACGTTTGAACAAGAAGTCCAAAGACTACTGCAAAGCTGATTTAAAACGACGTATATTGTTTTTTATAACAATATTTTGGCTGGCCATACCAGCCTTCTTCAGGTTTACAGTATACGTTGTTGTAAATTAGCTTTGCAATAGTCTTTGGACTTCTTGTTCTTGGTTCTTTATATTTTGGCTGATTAGATATCTTTTCTAGAGATCCAACGTTTACAACTAGCAGGATCTTCGTCCACGGTTTTTGCAGCTAATTTAATCCTTTAATAATAAGAAGTTTACCTGTCTGATCTTTTTTATGCCTTTTGTAACAAGGTAAATGACCGCTCAATCAGGAAGATGAAGGATGATTGAAAGTTTATTGTTGCTCCTGTTTTGTTTTATTTCCAGCGTTCACATAACGTTTTTTTTATTCTTAGATGCGCTGGATTCAAGGTGTTGGTGTTTGGCCTGTAGCCTTTACTGGAGCTGTCCGTTGGGCAGGTCCCGTATGTAAAGATGGTCAGGTCATTGGTTTCCACGCGAAGTGGGGTTTGTTTCGTCCATTCCCTATCGACATGGCGGCTTTTGCAATAAATATCAAGAAGCTTTTAATAGATTTCCCTAAAGCTGAGTTTCTCTCTCCTGACAAGGCGGGAATGTTGGAGTCTTCTTTGTTGACTCAAATAACAACAATCGATGAACTGGAACCTGTAACGCCAAATTGTAGCAAGGTAAATAATAGTTAATAAATAATAATAATAATAATAAATAAATTAGTGAACCAAGTTGATACACTAAAATAATTTATAATGGTAATAGGACCGAGTGGAGTCCAATTCAGTTTGTAATCGCACGAGTGATTGACAAAATCGGACGACCGCGTACCCTGGGTACCAGAGATTTTTTCTCGCGTGTGACGGGGAGCTTCGTCGGCCGCAGGCCGACATGTCTTCGGCCTTCGGAAACCGCGCGTGAAAAGTCTCTGGCACCCAGGGTAACGATTGCGTAGCGGGAGTCCTATTTGTTACAGACCGAATTGGATGACGCGCAGTCCTGTAACCAATATCTACCTTAACTGTTGCAAGTCCGTGAAAAAAAGCATTTTTTTGTGAAAGATCTTTAATACCAATTAATATCCAAACTTAGGGAAAATATCACTGGCAGGGACACTGTCTATGTTACAAATTCGTCCATTTTAGAAAACCCCAGGGCACAGTTGCTCGAAGCATGGTTAGCGTTAACCAGCGTTTAATACCTTGACAACGTATTGGTTTTGATACTGCTTAACCAATTGTTAAAGCTAACCATGCTTTGAGTAACTCAGCCCAGTCTGATAGGGCAGGTGGTTGTTGCTATGGTTATTGTGATAAAGTCTGTGATTGGTGGATCATGATTGGCTGTTGTAACTACCCGATTACAACCCTACACAATAATTAGTAAAAAATAAAGCAGTTAATGCACAAATCAAATTTGTGGAAATTGTAATGTTGTTATTAACTGAGCAATACGCTCTCCTATTTTCACCTATTTTCCTTTATTCTTGAGGAAGTTGAAGTCTAAGTTAAATAATACTGAATGTGTTTCATTCCTTGTCAGGTCTATGTTTGGCACACCAGGACAGAGGTACCAAAGGACAGCATTATAGGAGAGAGAAGAATGATAAAGCAAGGCACACCATCGGATAATAATATAGAAACCTAGCCAAACCGTCACTATGGATTATTGTTTCTGATTAGAAACCAAGGTTTCAGTATTATAGTGAAACGAATGTACGCTCGCTTTGGTTTTGAATAGCATCGGGCAGAATGGCTCGACATTTACGCATAATAATGAGTTACCGCGGCGGGTTATTCAAGCATGAACGCCCCACAAAAGCGCCCCAATAAGAGAGAAAAGGAAGGAATTTGTCGAAGATCACTCACTAATATCGCCATTTTAAAATACTTATTGTCTACTTTTTTTTAGATTAAACAGTGGCTTTTTGTAGTTAAAGGGTTAATCTTCAACGTTACGTAAAAAACAGAAAAATTCAACGAGAATAACTTGTAGACTTTTTGCCGTTCAAAACTTTTTTTTTTTCGGTATTTCTAATATGGGTTAAGACCGCATTAAAATTCTGTTTCGATGTTTTTGTCCAATTAAGCAAAAAACTCCGTATAAAACAACGGATAATAGAAGCTGCACATCTCCTCTATACATTGACAGCTTTTTCACCTAGCAGAAGAAGTTGTAGACTTTTACCCTTAAAAATCCGAGGTTAAAAATTGGCGCGTGTTCAGAGTCTAGTCTTTGTCTTACAGTAAAACAATGGTGCCCTGAATAAATAATAAGCAGCTAAACTCCATTGTTATAAACTAAATGCAGTCATCTGTAAACAGTGTTTATACAAATCGGCTGATAAAATAAGAGATTTCGACGCGCGAAGTCTGAATACTGATCGACACTGCTGTCTTGCGTTGGCGTTCGTAAAGATTCAATTAACCGGATAATGGCTAACACCACGATCGCAAATGATTTGGACCAGGAGCTCTTTTCAGAGCTCGTGAAACCCCTCTGGTTCAGCCTTTGCTAATGCATAAGCTTTAGTCAGTTTGAGCTCTGTTAAGGAATGTAAACTTACTTACCCGCCGTTTTGGTTTGTATAAGAGCTAAAACCCTTTCAACTGAAGCAAAACATCACAGACCAATACACTGAACGTCTACCGGCTTCCGCACGCTAGACACGCAATGTTTATTAACAAAATCAAGATCTCGCTCACGCAGAGATAATTCGATATTTCATCATTCGCTCTGTGGTTAAACTTTTCTACCAAATAAATTGTGGTTAAACTTTTTTACCAGATAAATTGCCCATACAATAAAGCAAATGTGAGTTGTTTTTTTTTATTATTCTGCAGAATACCCGGCCATTTCAAAGCTGGTCCCCTAAAACAGTGGCTACGTGGCTACGCGGCTGCGTGGCTACGCGGCTGTGTGGCTACGTGGGTACGGGGCTACTTAGAATAGCAGGTCACTTCGAATGGCCCATCCATTTGCTTATTTGCTTATTCTCAGTTCAGTATTTGCTTCGAACTCCCGATAACTCGAACTTTATTCGATTTCTTTATTCGTTTGTCTAGCCGGGAAAGCTTCATTGGTTTCTATATCTGATACTATCCTATTTCTACGATCCTAGCATGTTTATTTGTCGTTGGAGTTCGAATTTCATACAAATTCGTTTGAGCTTTAAGGACAAAGCTCCTGCTGCAGAGTAAGTTTCATTGACCTAAATTTAGTATTACCCACAAATTTTAGGATCATATTTTTACCCCATACAAACAGTGCAATTTGACTGGAACCGTACTGTGGTACTATGACAGAGCCTGGGTTACCTGTGATTTCCCTAGAGGGTTTCAGTTATCGGGAGTCGACTGTATGTGCTTCTCGTGTTGTTAATTCCATAATTAACAATTAATGAATGAGGCTGAGTATCTTATGAAGAATTATGGAGATCGAGGGCCGAGGCGGATAACACTCTCCGAGATCTCTATAATTCTTCATATGACACCAAAGCCAAATTCAATAATTGTTTCATTATTCATTCAAAATAATTTCTAGTTTAAAAACGTGGCTAAAACATGCTTACCTCCATCGATGAGTTCATCTTCGATAGTGCACGTTTAGGGTTGTTCAGCTCCGCAAATATTCTTCAAATAGCAGATGTCGCCCTTCGAGTTGTCTTGTTGCTGTTCCTGCCATGTTTTTAGCTATTATTTCGCCTAGTTCTTACTCTTGAAACGAGTGAAATGTCCTCGAGTTTTATTTTCACAACCAAAACAACTCAACCTCGCCCCCAGGTCTTCTCGGTTATCGGTGCATTAACCTGTGAGGGAGCTGCACTTTTGACGTCATCGGTTCATTAATCGCAAAATTCTTCCAAATTTGGTCATCAGTAGCTGGTTATGGGGAATTATGCGTGTGCTTTTAGCCAATCAGAGTCGGGGAAATATTTTGAATGAATAATAATAAACGGACTGTTAACCAGCCTCTCTCGGTTTTAAATTGGGCAATGGCGGCAACTCGCCTACACAAGCGGTTCCTAAGCAGAACCACCGGTCTCCAGGCAAATTGGTGACATCCGCTAATTAACTTACTACTGCACTGTTGCAAGAAAGGCATCTTTTAAAAAGATTTATAGGAAATAAATGCAATAGGTGAATCTGCTTTAAAGACAGGTTTGAAGATTAAAAAGGAAATGAATAAAATTTAATCAGAACAGTAAAGACACCTCTTAAGGCCGCTAGTTGTTTAGCATGGCTACATAGGGTCACATAGTCGGATGAGCAAGCCAATCCTAGCTCAGGTCTTTGCAAATAGTAACCGCCTTATAGAATACATGATCAAGCGTTAAACTGATCTGCAATATCGTGCTGTCAATATACGCTATTTTCGAATCAAAATATAAAAATAATTTACTCAACCGTTACAAAGTCATGTCAGCAACTAGTTCTGCTTAAGTTAATAGCCTAATTCGCTTACAGTATATTCTACTGAATCATTTTTAAATTGAGAATGGCGTTATGACGACTTCCAGAACCTTGTTGGATTTAATCGTCGATATTAACTTAACAAAACGTTTGCTTATAAGTATCTTGGAGATAAAAAATATCATTATCGTTACTCACTCAACCCTTGCTAATTGTAACCCTCCTGAAATATTGACGTCAATGTTGTTATCGAAGGTTTCTTCAATTATGAAAAATTCTAACGAGGTAACTATTCAATTGAACTGTAATCATGGCTTACCGACCGAAAATTCTCCGAAATTCAGCCATCTTCCAGATGCTGTGTGGTTCTTTGATGATATTACTTGGTATTGGAAGCATTTTCGCTGTTCACCACTGGAGTACGTACGTTGGTTTTGGAGTATGGGTTGGCTTTTGGGTAAGAAAAGATATAAACTTGATGGAACTTAGAGTAATCTGCAGAGTGGATTCGAACGCAGGAGTACATTTGCATTTCTGCTCATATTGCATGGTTCAGAAAAAATGTTAACATATTAGCTTTACAGTCAACGCTGTCGAAGCAATATACATTTCAAATTATACTTTTTTAGTAAAAGAAATTCTTGAAGCGCCGAAATTTGAATGACACAGAGGATATTTTGCCTTCTGTTTGGAAAATAAATACCATATTTTAAAAGAACGTTGGGAAGCTGTTCGCATGAGGGAGTTTTTATGCTGACTGCGAAATGACGGACGGGAAAGGGTGAAGAAGCCCTAAGAACGTCTGTGGAGGGGGAGGCTAAATAAAGCGGGTGAATTTCTGCGAGGAAATGTGCAAAAGTGTTTCTTCGCGGCTCCAGTGAAGCCTTTCTATACGAAGTACCTCGTGTTCCTCGTTTAAATACCGTTCATTTGTCACTAACGACGTCCGCCATTTTCGTTTTTTTTTTGCAAACCAGCCGTGACGCGAGAAATAACATCATTATTTTGATCGGTTTCAATCATTCTGCTCCCTGAATGTTTGGAATATATTCCCCTTAATATTCCTTGCAAGGAATAGGACGTCAATTTGAAAAGATTATGTGTTTCGGATTTTTCTATAGATTTCTTTTCCTTGATAAGATCGATCGACTTACGTTTAGAATGGGAGAACTTTGAAGAAAGTGAGATAGAAAACAATGTTTTTTTTTCTTTTAACTGAGCAGATAAGATAAATTGAGAGAGAAAGAAAGACTTAAAAGCTGGTCGCGTGTCGAGAATTTTTCGTAGGCCATGAAGAAGAGCTAAAGCTCGAAACGACAGTGTTTCAAAGACACGGATAAAATGAGTCCTGGCCCAGCTTTTGTTCGCTACAGTCAGTCTGCAGTCCGCATGAATAGTGAATTTAGATTTTTAAGGTACATGTAAAGCTACATACACTTCATGTAATGCTATGCGATTTATTTCTTTGTTTATATTATATTATTTCAGCGTGGTCTTTATGCACATTTAATGTTTTAAAACGGAATAATCATTTCATATCATCCATGGTTAGGTAATTATCAGTGGAGTTTTAGGATACATTGGTGCAAAAGAAGATACAAACCCAAACAAATGCCTGGTGAGTAGTTTTTATTTTGTTAACATATCTCCACAATTTTATCTAAGAATGGAATGCATAAACATATCATTCTCTCTTGATAAACAGTACATTTCCGCAATCTGTAAACAAACTGCACTATATGTGATTAACCAACGGGATAGGTTAAAACAACGCTAATAAATGTGATGCAATGGTGGTTAAAGAACATAATTTTTGGTCTCAGCTTTAATTTTGGGGGTGGACCTTTAGTCAAAATGGAATGGGGCATGAAAATGAACACATGTTGCACTCAGAGACTGCAAAACTAAGCATACATAAAAATGCATTATTGTTACGATTCGATCTATGAAATAAAAAATTTAACCTAAAGTAATAAAAATAAAAAATCCGTTCAGAATGGGTAGAAGTGTTCCGTACATGTAAATGTAATTGGCGATCGTTGACTACAGATAGTCCTTCTTAGTCCAACTAAATCTTGGTAAGGGGAACTCCTTTTAAAAGCTCTAAAACTGATGGATTTTAAAGCGGACGAAATTCATCAATAATTAAAACCTTTCTTCTAAGTGAACTTTGAATATTTTTTTCTTATAACTAGAAATACTTGTAACGCAAAAGCTCGCAAAGCGGAAGGAATAAAGGGAAAAACAGGCAAGAGAAAACAAATAATATAATAATAAAAAGAGCAACAAACAAACAAATTAAACTGTTCAGCGAACCTAGGCTTGAAATATATGCAATGGACTCATGCAAGAGCCCAAATATTATTATGATCTCTTGACTCATGAGATTTCTAGAAAATACTTTCCAAGAAATAACCCCCTTAAAATAAACCTGTAAAGAGCAAGGCCTTATCTCTAAGCCCATCATTGTAGACAACACATGACTAGGGTACATGTCCTTTAATTTTTTAGAATGGCAATGAGCGGTCCTTTATGTTCCGTTCAAAATAAGAGCAAAAACGCAACGCCAGTGTTCAATGACGTAATTATCTGAAACTCAACACTACAGACTGCTAAATTTTCAGTCTTTTTTTTTTCTAAACTTTTGATTTTGGCTCTGGATTTTAAAAGTGAATAAAGTTTAAGACACTAGTGTAGGGCTTCCAGCCAAGCTAACCTAGTGGCGGCTTATTATAAATAACTTGCATGGTGATTTATAATAAGCAACTTAAAAGTTGTTTTTGCCTGTCCACAGATTGGATGTTTCTTGGGATTCTCTATCACTGCCTGTGTCATTAGTGTAATTATGTTCATCAGCTACTGCTTCGCTGTTAGCCAGTTTTCCAGCATCCTTAATTGCCAGGAAGATTTGCTTGTGGAAGGCACCAGTTTTAAGAGGCCTTGTTCAGACTCCCGGTCAAGTACAAAACGAGGTGAAGCCTCAGATGGAATGGGATTCGGCCTTTGCCAATTGATATTATCTGCATTGGTTTTCTTTGTTGGCCTTGTTCCATCTATCTACTCCTGCAAAGCTGTGTGCTGTGGAACATCTGGCCACACCGTAAGTAGCATGACACATGTTTCCTGACTTAATTCTTCTTAGTTTCCAGCGTTGGTTGAATGATCTGCTTTGTTGAGAGCCCGTTCTGTCTCACCAACTCTTTGGACTATTTATTATTCTTCTTAGTTAAAATTTGAGGGGAATAATGGCAGAGTATTAACTGATCCTTGGAGCGATGAGGTTTATACTTTTCCTACTAATAAAAGATTTACCGAGACTGAAAAAAATTGTTTTATACTAATATATATGTTGAAGGTAAAATTGATCTCAGGTTAAAAAGCAGTATCTAATTTCCTTTGATTCAGAATTTCCTTTATTTCTTAACTTTAATTATTAAACTGTCGTTTAACCTAAGATATTTCTCAAAACGCCGTTGACATTAATATTTTGGAGAACTGTTCCTATTATTTTAGTCCATTATTTTTTTTATTTTGTTATTTCGTATAGCAGTTGCGTTAGCTCTTTCGCCATGCATGCATGTTCATTAGTTCTGCACTCATACCAAGACAACCAAGCTGCCGCTTTGTAAGGTTGAGGGAGGGTTTAACCGTTTTACTGAGGACAATTCCTCAGTCAGTACTTTTCCACTAATAAATTTTATAAGTACGTTCATGAGAAGATATCAATGCCCTCGGAGCCAAAACATGCAAACTTCTCAGATGAAAGCCGGAAAGCAAACAACCAGTATTTGCTGATTTTGTTGTTGTTTTGCTATAACAAATATTTTTAGGTTACTACGCAGCACGTACTGTACGCTGGAACGCAACCAATGCACCCAGCAGGCCAAGCTGGTGTTGTGGTTACTCAACCAACTAGTGCCATAGCGACTACTCTTCATGGCGTTCCCGTGACAGGACAGCAGGCCGCTTTCTTACGTCCACAGGTAACGACAGACAGTAGTGCTGCATGCTAACAACTGCATATGCTAACAACCGCATATGCTAAGACCTGCTAACAAATCGTTCGTTTAGTTCTGTAACACAAAATACTACAAGGCCAATAGCTGAAAAATCTCTTCTAAGGAGTAAACATAGTTTAACGGGCTGCGTTATTTAGGGGCGGATAATATACTTCATATATTTACGCTACTAAGATAAAAAAAATTGTTTGTTGCACTGGGGTTGCTGTTTCTCGCTCATTGTAATGAGGTTCACAGCAGGACGTTATAAGCCAATTTGAGATTTTTTGTAAATAGCAGACTGAGGTTTCCCAACCTTTTGTACGGGCGTTAAGACAACGAGGAAAGACGAAGATATAAAAGAAGACTTAGTATCTTCTCGCTTAGCGAGCGAGTCGCTCGAACAACCCCAACATATGTTACTGGAGAACCCGCGGGTATCAATCCCGGTACCTTTCGTTCACCATTTTAAAAATGTCCTTTGGGTGTAGGTCTTCATTCTAACTGGGAAAATTGTTGCTTTACATTACATTAAAACTGAAGTACTACTTCATTTACTGTAACAGTGTTCCATATAAAAAAGCCTGGATGTAATCCACCTAAGAAACTTGAAATTGTTTTCTGTTTGTATGTAAACCCATTTAAAACAGCAGGAACCAAAGGAACATGAGAGACCTCCGCCCTATTCATACAATAAACCGACAGAAAATGTTCCACCACAAGAGGCATCTACAAGCGGTGTATTTGGGGATATGCCGCCACCATATTCATACAGTGGACAGACAGGCAATGCCCCACCATCAACGGTGTCTGCAGCCGGCATCACTGAGGATGTGCATCTACCATATTCATACAGTGCACAGACAGGAAATGCTCTACCATCAACAGCGTCTTCAGGCAGCGTCACTGAGGATGTGCATCTATCATATTCATACAGTGCACAGACAGGCAATGCCCCACCATCAGCGGCGTCTGTAAACGGTGCTGCTGAGAATGTGCGCATGCCTACATGGGTAGAGACAATTTAAACAAAACTGCCTCAGTAGATTAACGTAAGCGTTAATAAGGTGGCATTGCTGGAAGTAATTGTAAATAATCAATTGTAAATTTTAGTAGGCCATTTTGAGGTCTTTAAACACTAGTGAGGCCCAATGCAAATTAAAGTGAGTTTTATTTGCATGACAATAAAAGGCTTTTTGTTATGTACATGTTTTATCCCCGTTTTGAAATAGACAGAGGCGAATCCATAATGACCTATATGGACCAAGCTTTTGGGAAATACTTTAAAGTTAACTTCTTACTTTGAAGCTGCGGGGCGAATAGCTTGAGTTGCGAGATCAGAAACTCTAGTAACCGAGATGAAGCCTTGTTTTCGTTCGTAAAGACGTCTAAAGCTGTTTAACTTGGGCCTGATCTCTCGTTAGAAACCAGAGAAAATTTTAGGCAGGGCAATACTAATAGGTTCAAAAGGTTGAGTTTGATCGTCCGGGTGAACGTCCGGGTGTCTTTGTACTTGACATTAGTAAGCAGTCGCCGTAAAGTGGTTATCGGTTTGTGCGCAACACGTATATTGTAAGGTTGTAATATACGTGCAATAGTTTCAGAGGTACCTCGGATGTACGGTATAGTCGCTGTCGTAACAGGGCCAGAGTTGGTCTGAGAGTTGGAATCAGTGTTACTGTGAGTGTTCCGTCTAACAAAGTCCATGTTGTAATTGTTCTTACTAAAAACGTTGTTAAGATAATCAGTCTCGTCTTGTAGGCTGTCAGGTGAGTCGCAAACTAGTTGCGCTCGTCTCGTCAGAGTCCGGATAGTAGTAGCTTTGTGAGAGGTCGGGTTGTACGAAGACTGGTCTAGTAGTCGGTCGGTATGTGTCGGTTTTCTGTAAATAGTCGTTTTTAGTTTGTTGTTGTCGCCAGTGACCAAGCAGTCTAGAAAAGGTATCTTACCATTTTCTTCGATCTCCTTGGTGAACTGTATGTCCGCGTTCTGTCTGTTAAGGTGTTCGTGAAAATCGTCGATTCTGTCTTTGTGTACGGCGGTGAATGTGTCGTCAACGTAACGTAACCAAAGAGGTACAGTTCGCGTGTAGGTAGCTAGGGCTTGTTTCTCGATGCTTTGCATGACAATTTCTGCTACAACAACAGAAAACTGGAGAGCCCATAGCAGCCATAGCTGTACCGTGTAACCGAGTCTTCATAGCCAATAACATCACGGCTTAACTGACAGACGACGAATAACATCGCGACATAATTGACCAATCAGATAGGGTGTAATACCATCAACTGACGTGATACAACTCACTTTGACCCTGAAGATGACTACCGCACAGGTCGTCGAAACGTCAGTCACTGTCAACAACAACAGTCCTATTCAGGACTACGTTCACCCGGACGATCAAACTCAACCTTTTGAAATGACTCCTGGGTTCAAACCCTTCACAGTTTTACTAAAAGGTTCCTTAAGTTTTTTTCAGTGAACAAATTAGAGGTGATCATTTAATTTAAGTCGGTGGAACTGTGGGTTCTGTGTGAGATAATATGATGTTCCAGTTTTACAATGAGTAATACTCAGTGAAATCGCGGCCTGTTAGTTCTTTTTATTCTAACCAGTTCAGTTAGACTTGTAGCGTCAATAAGAACATAACTGGTGTCGCAGTTCGGTTTCCTCTATTTCGTACATTTTTTTAATTCAAGATTTTGAAAGAAATTTACTTTTTTTGAAACGAAGCTTTCTGAGCTTTCAAAATACACCCGAATGGCACTCCTTTAGTAAAAAAGGGGTAGATGCAGGCAGATTTAAAAATGTTCCTTCGAGAGTCGTTATTTTCATCTTTTATAGAGTACTGAAGTGTGACGTCATAGAAAATGAAATTTGTGAAATTGTGGGATTTGTTAAGATGTTCCGAAACAACAACGTCCAAGACGCCTACTCGCCAAAAATTAGCAATTTGGGGCAGATTGTCTCTGAGATATTAATCCAGTTATGCTCCGATGACTCCATACAAATCCTTCTAAATCTTACCTGGTTCCTAATCTTATGAACCAAGCCAAATTTAGAAGGATTTGTATGGAGTCGTCACAGCATAACTGGGCTAATATCTCAGAGACAATTTGCCCCGAATTGCTAATTTTTGGCGAGTAGGTGTCTTGAACGTTGTTCTTTCAGAATATCTTAACAAATCCCATAATTTCACAAATTTCATTTTTATGACGTCATCACTTCGGTACTCTATTAATCCATGTATATATTATAATAAACTCAAGAGCTTAGAAGTCAAAATTAAAATATTGACGATGAAGTCATTATATATAACTCGTACCTCCCCATTAGTTAATGATGTTCTACACCCCAGCAACGAATTTACGATGCACATGTGCTCGAATGATGTCATTTTACCTATCAGGTGATATGTTATGATATCACTTGCACCGTTGTACCCCTGTCAGTCCTGAAACAAAAAATGACTTGTAGTAACCAATCCCCCGCCTAGTCCCAGTCCGCGTGTTTACGTATAAGTAATTCGACTTTCGCGCGGGTTATGCAAATCGTTAAGTATCTTGCTCGAGTTCGCTAGCTGTTACAACTACGTTACGTTCTTTATCTTACTTCGTTCGCCGTATTCCCAAATCGTCAGGTAATGTCCTCTCTCTTCGTTTATCTCGTATTTCCTATGTTACCTGTATTTCCTACGTTATTTGTAATTAGTCGTTCCGCTCTTAATGTATTAAGTTTGTTACTTTATCCTAGAAACCACTGGCAACATCATGTAAATAAGGTTAAGAGTTCGAGTTGTTCCATTTGAATTAAAACTCTTTTGCGACTTATATTATTGCTGGTGCGTTGGCTACAGTTTCTGACGCTAGTGGAATTATGTCAATGGAAAATTCGTCGAACGGACGAGGGGAGGCCGTAAGGCGTGAAAGAATGCTGTCCCTGAAGAGAAGTCGAGCTGGTCACCTTGGCTATTTAAACAGGTTGTACAAAGACGTCGAGTTATTAATGCAAAACGCGGATAATTATCATGTGGCTTGTAAGAAGAAGAAAGATGTTGATATCGCGTTTGCGAGATGTTTTCAAGCCTACGATGAATATTATCAATTCGCCATCGACCCCGAAGTCAAATTAGATGCGCTTAATGCTTGTCACAGCATAATGACAGGAAAAAAAGAATTCGACGAGCGTTTTGAAGAATGGTCGCGATCCGTTCAACGTACCGTGGATAACACTTCAGTGGTTCCTCGCCAAGATTATGGTGATACTGCCGAATCACAGATTGTCACACGTTCAGTTGTCACCTCAAGTAGCAGAAATTCGAAGAGCTCCAAGTCCAGCTCACGTGCAAGTGATCGATCAAAAAAGGCTAAAGCCGAGCTTCTTCGTCGTGAAGTTGAGTTGAAGAATCTGTTAAAGCGCCAGGAGATGGAACGTCAAATGGAACGTCAAATAGCCGAGATGAAAATTCAAGAAGATGAATTGAAACGCCGGATTGCTTTATTGACCGCAGAAGGGGAAATAGAGAAAGCTAAGGCTGTTGATGAGCTTTATGAAACTTCGGAATATTCAAAACGTGGTACCGAGGCAGAGTTGAAACCGGTTTACAAAGACGAAACACGCGATTCCTTACCTCCTGTGAAAGACCTTCAGGTTGGACCGAACTTTAAGAGTGGCGACTTCAAGCAAGTTGGGAGAAATTATTCTAAATCAGTGCTGAATCCAGGTGCTCAACCTTGGGACCTAGGACCCCCGCAGAACACTATCGGCGCTGGAGACCCCACTGGTTCCCAACAGTTGCAAGAAATATTAACACAGCAACAAGAAGCTTTGCAACTTATGGCGTACACAATTCGACATGGATTTGAAATGCCGAAAAGAGAGCTTTTGACGTTTGATGGTAACCCGCTTAACTACTGGTTGTTCATAAATAACTTCGAGGTCAACATCGCTAAGAGGGTACCGGACCCCGAGACGAGGCTAACTTACCTTATTCAACACTGTACTGGGAAGGCTAGGGAAGCCATTAAAAACTGTGCCATAATGTCCGATCCAGAGCAAGGCTACAGGAAAGCCCAAGAAATCTTGTACCATAGATTTGGACAGAAACACATCATTGCGCACGCGCACATCACGAAGATTGTGGAAGGTCCGCAGATCAAGAATACTGACTCCACTGGTTTATTAGACCTGTCCGTTGAAATGCAGAATTGTGCGCTGACTCTCGTACAAATGGGCTACGAGGCAGATGTTAACAGCTCGGACAATCTCGTTAAGGTGGTGAAGCGTCTCCCTGTTCATCTGCAGTCTAAATGGGCGGACAGAGCCGGTTCATTAACCTTAGCTGGAACGGAACCTACCTTCATGGATTTAGCTGGTTTTGTTGAAGAGAAAGCTTTGCTGGCAAACACTATGTACGGACGAATAGTTGGATCGACACCAGACAAAGAACGGAGCTCTAAGCCACCACCCAAAATAAAGTCACCGTCCTCGAAGGGAAACACCTTCGCGACGCAGTCCGAAGACCTTCCTCAAGTAAACACACCTCCTATCGTAACTTGTCCTTTGTGTTCTGGTCAACATAGACTGTGGAAATGCGAGCTCATGAAAGCAAAGAGCCCAGAAGAAAGAAAAAGCTTCGTTCGACAAGCAAGACTATGCGACAACTGTTTTGGAAGCGGTCACATGGCCACAGATTGCAGAAGTAAAATGATGTGTCAAGTGAATGGATGTGGATGGAAACACCACACTATGTTGCACGTTAAGAAGAAGAGCAACAATAATAGCACCCCTCCTAACCATGCTGCAGTCACCTCGGAAGAGACTGGAGCGAGTACCATCAGTGGAACCGGGGAGACTGGAACGGGCGCCATCAGCGGGGCCGGGGATGCTGGTCGGTGTGGTGCTACAGACTCTGGCAAGAAGAATGTTTGTTTAAGAATCGTTCCGGTTGTCGTGAAAGGAATGGGTCAGCGCAACACAATTGTGGCAAACGCGCTACTGGATCCTGGTTCGGACGTTACGTTATGTGATG